AAAAAAAAAAAAAAAAAAAAAATCAATGTAATACAGAATGTTAATAGAATGAAGGGGAGGAAATACACGATCAACTCAATTAACACAAGAAAGCCATTTGACGAAATTCAACATTCTTTCACGATAAAAACACTCAGGAAACTAGGTATAGAAGGAAACTTCTTCAACACGATGAAGGGCATTTATGAAAAACCCACAGTTGACATCATGCTAGATGGTGAAAGACTGAAAGTGTTCCTGCTAAGAACAGGAACAACATGAGAATGCGGGCTTTCACACTGCTACTCAACATAATACTAGTTCTAGCCAGAGCAGTTATGCAAGAAAAAAAATAAAGGCATCCAAATTGGAAAAGAAGAAGTAAAATTATCTTTATTCCCAGATGGCATGATCTTCTATATAAAAACTCGCAAAGAATCTATACCCCCAAAATTACTAGAACTAATAAATGAATTCACCAAAGTTTCAAAGTACAAGATCAACACACAGAACCAGTTGTGTTTCTGAAATATGCTAGCAATGAACAATTCAACATGGAAATTAAGAAAACAATTCTATTTACAATAGCATCAAAAACAATAAAATATCTGGGAATAAATTTAACAAAAGAGGGAAAAGACTTGTATTCTGAAAAGTACAAAACATTGTGGAAAAGAAATTAATGAAGACCTAAATAAATGGAAAGATATCCCATGTTCATGGATTAGACAACATAATATTACCGAAAGTGATTCACAGACTCAATGCAATCCCTGTCAAAATTCCAAAGGCCTTTTCTGCAAAATTGGAAAAGCTGATCCTCAAATTAATATGGAATAGTGATGGGCCCAGAATAGTGAAAACAATCTAGAAAAAGAACAAAGTTGTAGGACTCACACCTCCTGATTTGAAAACTTACTACCAGGCTACAGTAATCAAAACAATGTGGTACTGGCATAAGAATAGACATATAGATCAATGAAATAGAATTGAGAGTCAGTAAATAAACCCATACATCTGTGGCCAATTGATTTTCCACAAGGGTGCCAAGTCCGTTCAATGGGGAAAGATCAGTCTCTTCAACAGATGGTGCTGGAACCACTGAATACTCACCTGCACAAGAATGGAGTTGGACCTCACACCATACACAAACACTAACTCAAAATGAATCAATGATGTAAATATGAGAGTTAAAACTATAAAACTCCTAAGAGAAAACATAGGAGTAAATCTTCGTGACCTTGGCTTTGGCAAAGATTGTTAAATACAATACCCCCAAAGAAATGAAAGCAGGAATCACTCACAGAATTAAAACTATAAAACATCTCTAAGAAAACACAAGAGAGAATCTTAGTGACCTTGGCTTTGGCAAAGGATTCTCATATACAATACCAAAAGGAAGAGCAACAAAAGAAAAAAGCAGGTGAATTGGAGTCCATGAACATCAAAAACTTTTGTGCATTGAAGAAGACTATCAAGAAATTGAAAATATAACTCAAAATGGGATAAAATATTTGCAAATCATGTACCTAATAAGGGTCTAGTATCCAGAACATATAAAGAACTCTTACAACTCAATAAGTAAAAGACAAACAATCCAATTTAAAAATGGGCAAAGGATTTAAATAGACATTTCTTCAAAGAAGATATACAAATGGCTGACAAGCACATGAAAAGATGTTCAGTGTCATTAGTAATTAGGGAAATGCAAATCAAAACCACAATGAGATATCCCTTCACACCCACTAGGATGGCTATAATTTTTCAAAAAATAGAAAATAACAAGTGTTGATGAGAATATGGAGAAATCGGAATTCTGTACATTGCTGGTGGGAACGTAAAATGGTGCAGGCTCTGTGGAAAACAGTTTAACAGTTCCTCAAAAAGCTAAACAAAGAATTGCCACATGATCCAGCAATCCCACTTCGAGGTATATATACAAAGGAATTGAAAACCGGTACTCAAACTAATACTTGTACATGAATGTTCATAGCAGTACTAGTCACAGTAGCCAAAAGAGAGACACAACTCTAATGTCCACCAACAGATGAATGGAGAAATAAAATGTGGTCTATCCATACAATGGAATATAATTCAGTGATAAAAATGAAGTATGGATATATGCTGTAAGATGGATCAACCTTGAAAACATTATGCTAAATGAAAGAAGTCAGACACAAAATACTACATATTGTATAATTCCATTTGTATGATGTATCTAGGATAGGTAAATCCAGAGAGAGCAAGTTGGTTGTTGCCAGGTGCTGGGAAGGGAGAGGGAAGATGGAGGAATAACTGCTTAATGGGTACAGGGTTTTCTTTTGGGGTGATGAAATGTCCTGAAACTAGATAGAGGTGACAATTGCACAGCACTATGAATATACTAAATACCACTGAATTGTGTACTTTAAATTGTTCATTTTATGTTATGTGTACTTCACCTCAATGAAAATATAGGAAAAAAAGAGAAGAAAGTCAAAAAAGAAGGAAAGCTTTAAAAACATTTCCATGAATTATAGGTGAATATTATTCTGACCTCAGAGTAGTCAAGAAGTTCCTTAAAAAAATGTGAATCATAAAAGGAAATATTGAAAATTTTGACTATGTTAAAATTAAGACCTTTAACACCTCACCAAAGATATACAGGTGGAAAATAAGTGTATGAAAAGATTAACAACATAATTTGTTACTAGAAAATTGCATATTAAAACAACAATGATATACCACTACACACGTATAAGAATGGTCAAAATCCAAAAACCTGACAATATCAAATTCTGACAAGGATGCAAAACAACATAAACTCTTATCCATTGCTACTAGGAAAGCAAAATGAAAAAGCCACTTTGGAAGACGGTTTGGCAGTTTCTTATACAGCTAAACATAGTCTTGTCATACTATCCAGCAATCATACTCCCAGGTATTTACCCAACTGATTGCAAAACATGCCCACACAAAAATCTACACATGAATGTTTATAGCAACTTTATCCATAATCACCAAAAACTGGAAACAACCGAGATACCCTTCAACAGGTGAATGGATAAACGAACCGTGGTAAATCCTTACAATGAAATGTTATTCAGCACTAAAAAGAAATGAGC